AAAAAGTTCCCTCATCATAGGTTGCCTTGTGTCAAGTCACAAAGCCATACACTCAGTCCCATGTACAACACCCATCCTATCCATACTCCAACCCTCGCTGGGAGGCGACACACTATTTTAAACTGGCTGCAGAGGTGGCTGGGAAGGGAGTCATTACTCACTCTGGGGCAGTTTCAGGCAATAAACACACACATGCTATATGATCTATGATACATTATGATATCTTTCCATGCTGTTATAAAATTACCATATTCTTCCGTTGTGCCTAGAAACACACACACACACAAACCTTAGACCTATAGTGAAAAAACTGTTGAACTTGGAAGTCCTGGGTTCAAATCATTTCTGAAGCACAAGGTTTATTGGAGTGGCTTTGGCTAGCTTACTATGCCTCTGTCTAGGAGAGCTGTTGCAATGATAAAGTAAGTCCCCAAGTATTACCACTACTCAGAGGAGGGCCAAAGTTCAGGGTCAAAGGGTTGAGCAAACAAAGGTCTCTCCAGTTTGGCTGGGTCAACTTACCATGTGAAGAGACCTGTCTAGATGGTTCCGATATTTACACACTGGCTCATTCTCTCAGACAGACACAGACACATGTGTGTGCATGGCAGCTATGTGGGATAGCATCACAAAGAAGCACCCACTTCCTGCACAGGTTGGTGAGTAAGTTACAGGGATTTTAGTGATCAAGAGTGAGTTGGTTATGAACCAAGGTTTTAAAGGAATTACAGGTGGCAGGAGCTGCTTGACTGGACACATCTTTGGAAGTGAAGACATGAAACAGGAAACTCAAAGGACAAGCCAAAACACAAGTTCGGGAACTGAAATGTACAAGTGCAGAGGGAATTATTTACAATATTGTGTACACTGCAGGCTTATGACACATTTCCATGCCTGAAGTTCTTGTGGCTCTAGAGAATGTCCCATAAATGATGTAGCACTCAATAAAGAACCAGTTATTGATATAGGTCAACTTGGATCCAAGAAGTTCTCTTCCATAGCCTTTTTCTATGAATTTTCTTATAGCTGTTCTTAAAGTTGTCAATGTTTTAACTTCTTCTCTGTTTTATGATATTGTACTGCATTTTATTGTACTGTTCTATGGATTTTTGTAAATCACCCAGATAGCTTTGCTTATGGGGAGGTATAGATGTGAAATAAATAAATAAAATTTCTGAATGTATGGATTGTCTGTCTATAATCTAAATCTGGCATGGAAGAGATTAAGCAACACAGAAAAATAAAATGGGTGAACAATAAAAAAATTAAAATTTATGCAAATATAGAAAAGCACGATCCTAGCAACTATGTTGTTTTTAAAGTGCACACATACACAACACAGTCCAATGAGCCCAAGTTAAAATTTCTCAAATTTTCTTTAAAAACTGGAAGTTTTTAAGCAACTTTCACTGCAATCCTAGCCACATCTAATCTATTAGATACTCCCATTGCAGTCAATGGAATTTTCTCCAAAGTAAGTACGCATAGGGCTTCAGTCTAAAAAGGTATTTTCAAATAAAACAAACACACTAACAAGAAACTTCCTTAATGTGCTAGCACAAGGATACCAGCAGATAGCGGTAAGAGGAAGGGCATGCTATATTTTACAAGCCACTTTCTCAGCAGAGCAAAGTCGGTAAACGATGATACGTGGACCAACATTATCTCCATTGATGCTAAGGTGTACGGAAAGAATAATTGGAGCAGACACTTCCTTAGTGCTGAAACTGAAGACTAGATCTAGACAAGTGGTTGATTGTTCTAGCTAGAACAGTGAAGAAAATAACTTTCTTGGATCCCTGCAAAGCAATTCTTGGGTGCAAGGACAAGATCATTAACAAGTCAAATTGGGGTAGTGGAGAGAGAATGATTACTTTTATTGAACCCAGATTCTTATCATCATCCTCATAAAAATATTTCACTGCATGAGTCATAGACATTCAAATTCCATCCCTACCCCAGGGAGCAAAACTGGTTTTTCCCAATTTAAACCTAGAAGATATATATAAAATGGCATCCAAATGAGAAAAATATATAGACAGCTATGATAAAGATCACCATTTGCTTTCCAAAATTGCTGCATACGCTTTTGTGTCATATTTTATTGTCGACTCATATGCTACCAAAAGGCAATATTTTATACACTGCGGCAGCCTTCTTATAACAGTAACAGATACTGTGCTTTGAAAAAAAATAATAACTATACACACTTCAGTGACCAAAATTGAAATGCGTAAGATCAAATCATAGCCAGAAAATGAATTATGCCCTATTTTGTCACCGTAGTACCGAATGCATAACACTTTAATGCATAAGCTAGTATTATAAATAGCTTAGAAGGCTACCCAAAAAATGGAGGGTATAAAGGAAGTGGGAAAAGAAAGAACCTGCTATTGATCGTAACTGAGAACCATATATGTAAATATTATCCACTACCCCTACCTGTGAGCTAAACAAACATTTCTGCCAGAGTTGTCAAATGCCACATCCTTTACCCTCTGTCAGTGTCACTTTATGAGAAGTACATCCACTACGACAGGAGGAAAGCAGCAAGTTAAAGGATGGGAACTGCAGAAAAGCAAGGATGTTGAACAAGGGATTGCTCCTCAGTCAAGGCTTTGTGACAGATGCTCCATCCATGGTGAACCAAGATTTCATTTCCTTTGATCTCTCCAGCATCCCATTTCTCATGGTAGTATTCCCCATTTTTTCTGGGAACGTTAGAAGAAGGGTATATTATTGATGCCCAGCATCAACCTCCCCAACAAAAAAATCGTACTGGCTCGGTCTAAGGAGGTTCCATCTGGCCATTCCGATGGTCAACGTGTCTTCCATAAATGTGTTCAACCACCCTCCCTTGAAACCATCAGGCAGAGCTACTTAGTTCACACAGGTGACTATCCAAAAGGAGTTAGAGTTGGGTGGAGATCCCCCTCCATTGACAGAGGAGAAATCTGCCAGTGAGCTGGGCAGCATCCACTATAGGGACTCCAGGAAGCATCCGCAGTTGTATCTGTATTGTCAGTGTTATATCAATGAAAAGGCAAAGGTAGGACTTGGGATTCAAGGTGCTTTCCACAACATACCAGCATGCCAGCTTACAGCTGATATAACAAATCCCTCCCTTTCAGCACCAGTAGGAGAAAAGCGATTTTTTAAACTGTAGTATGAAGGAAAGGGTTAATTTAGCAACTCCCCCAACATATACTTCCTGCACTGGCCAGCATGAGCTGGTGGGGCTTTAGAACTGGCAGATG